GTTGAATATATACCGGCTTTGGGAAGGGAGTGACCAGTAATACACGGGTCACACGTGTGTTGCAATCAAACGGACGGATCAACTAATGGTGATATAATTAGCGGTAATTAAAGGCCATAATTAAAAGTATGAGTTTTGATCGCTATTCGCACGCAATGCTAGTGTTTGTCAACAAAACAATACAAAACCACTCAATACATGGCAATGGAGTGTTGAATGCCATCTGGTATTCACTCAAACCATACACTCCTATAGTATTGTAAACACAACTGAAGAAAAACACATTCAAAACAAAAACACAACACTTTTTGTGCATTTCATTCATAATTAAACTTTTAATTTAGTTATCGTTATAATCAATGCAGTCAAACATATTGACCATAATTTATATATTAATTGTGATATCTATCTAATGATAATGAATGCCATGGGTTTGAGATATCATTAGCCGCACCACAGCTGCAGAGACACAACCGATTGGATCCGTTTTGGGGACCGAATCGGATGGACACGAGTCCGGCGGACGCGAGAAGCGGTCGGCCGTCGCTGTCATGCGATATGCAGTCAACGATCGTTAATAACGGCTTAATTGGCGCCAATCATAACAATGCCATTAAATTAGTGAAAGCCATCTATCAGTTTAAGGCCAATAATAATGACGAATTGTGTTTCGACAAAGACGATGTATGTCAACCCCCGCCCCCTTCACCCCCTCCCCCGTAGTGCCACCCGTGGATTGTGACCACTGTTACGGACCTATTGCCCGCACACCTTGTTTTGCTGGCCATTCATTTTGACCATATGTTGTTTTGTTTTTGGTACAGATAATAACGCTAACCCAGTGGCCATCGGGCGGCTGGTGGGAGGGCACCCTCAACGGCATCACCGGTTGGTTTCCATCCAATTACTGCCAACCGTTGACCGCATCCGACGCCGAACTCAAAGACACGGACGGCCTCTCTCTTGGCTTGAATAATGTGTCTAATAGTCACGACACAGACGCCCAACAGTACAGACAAATGGTTTGCCGTTTTTTTGTTGTCTTGTTTACTGATTGTTATAAATGTATCGCTAATCATGTGATTTCACGGCTCGATATGACAGGTGTTTCAAGACATTGAAGACACGGAGTCGGCGTATGTCAGGGATATGATGGACACGATTAACAGATACCTAAAGCCTATACAACACTCACAGATGTAATGAAAACTTAATTTAATTGATTTAATTTTTAGTTGACATTTTATAATCAATTAATATATTGTTTTACATCAAACAGTTTGCCAGACAATGAAATCAATTCAATCATACGTATCGTACAAGAGATCTGTTCAGTTCACCGACGCTTTCTGGTCACACTTAACGGCCTTAATTCGTGAGTGTTTTGGCCACCGATTTGTTTAATTTGCTTTTATTTGACCGACACGTGTGTCGCCCGCAGTCTACCCCATAAGGAGGTCCGCATCGGTGGCGTATTCTTGGAGTTCGCGCCCCATATAAAGGCCGTACACTTAGACTACTGTTCAAATCACGCAAAGTTTGTCCACTCGATTGAGAAATACAAGTTAGTTGTCCTCTCTTTATGTCCTATCATTTTATTTATTATTATCTAATTTTAATGCTGTGTTTGAATGGTCTTTGAAATGACCGCAGAAAAGATATCTGCGCTCTGTTTAGTAGTCTTAACCCAACCGATGGTAACGCCGGTAACGTTCAGTTGACATCGTGTTTGAGCGCCTCATTCAGACGGATTGACAAATATCCGGCTCTACTCCAAGAGCTACAGAGATATACCGATGTGAGTGACCATTGATTTAATCTCTTGTAGTTTTGATTGTGATAATGGTTTTGGTTTTGATTCTTAGGAAAGTCATATCGATAGAGGAGATACACAAAGGGCTGGCTTTGTATTCAGAGATCTATCGGTAAATGCATTTAATTGTCATTTTATTTTAAATATTTATCATT